CCCTCCCGCCATATATACACACTGAGACCCCCCATATACACACTGAGACCCCTATAAATACCCACAGCCCCCCTCAGATATCTTTCCAGTCATAATTCTTTTGGTTAGTTACATTCAGAAGCCACTGCACTGAGATGAGGACAAATTCCCAACTGTACCCCACCTCTAATGACCCCGTGCGATCATGTGACATCCCACCTGCAGCACAGAGGGACCCCACTAGACTCTACTCCCCCTGTAATGACCCCGTGTGATCATGTGACATCCCACCATTCGCGCTGTGAATCTCTATGAACGTTTATTATGGCCACTAGATGGAGCTGAGGAGTATAAGATATCTATTCCATGTGCTCCTCCGCTCCATCTAGTGGCCATAATGCAGCATTACCGCTCCTTCAAAGGAGAATAGATTAGGAACATCTGTTTTTGCCTCCATTCACACACCAACGTTCACAGAGATTCACATGGGAAACGACTTTGTGAATAAAAACAGATCCCTTAGATTTGCGAGGGGGGGGGTCCACTTTAGGGGTTCATTAACACTTTAGTTGCCAACAAGCAGAGCAGTTCAGTCCCCCAGAAACAAGGTGATGACTCCGCATTGTACCCGGGGTCACCCTGTGTTCAGTCCCCCCGGATATAAATCACATTGATCTCTGCAGGTCGGGCCGAGTGTCGGCTCTCACCGGTCGGGTCCCCGGTCTGCACCATGAAGCCTTTGATGTTGCGGTGGAAGAGGCAGCCGTTGTAGTAGTTGCTGGCACACAAGGCCAGGAAGTTCTGTTGGGGGGACACAGAGACAACGATAGACAGATCACACAACGCAGGATCACACAACGCAGGATCACACAACATCACAGCAACCAATCAGAGATAGCTATTCACCCACCTGACCCCAAGAAACTGACAGCTGATTGGTTGCCTCCTGCACACCCCCCTCCTTGTTTATCTACAATGATCATATGAACCAGTACGAGGGGCTCATTAACCATACGGTGTAAATTTACAGCTTAGAAGGTCAAATCTGATAATAGAAATAATACTAATAGACATAACAACATACAATATCCCACTGACTATAACTCTGGAGAATTCCCCCGCAGTACCTATTCCCCACCACTAGGAGTCTTCAGTCTGATGGCCGGCATCATTCATCTCACTTCCCCTGAGCCCAGATCATCCTAGAGCCGCCCCCAGCCGATGACTGGACAGTTAAAGCAGAAGCAGCATAGTGACAGGCTCATCTCTCTGCTTTCTCCTCCCATCAGCATGCTTCTAAAGGACACCTTGTGCTGCTTCTCCCTCTCATACTCCAGCCCTGCTGATGCCGGGTCACGTTGAGGGACTTTCTCTGCTTGTATGCAAAAATATATATTAAAAGGAGAAGTGTCGGGACAGTGAGACATACAAATCACTGCGCATAGAGCCGGCGTTCCATCGAAAGCTCCGACTTGTCGAGATCTCCGACTGGTGACGTCACATGCGGGGACTGCCAGGAGGAGATCTACACCAGATGGAGCTGCTGCGCGTGCCCGTGGAGTCCTTGTCAAAATCTCTAACTACTGGCACTGCCGTCGAATTCTATAACCACACTCGGCACTGCGCGGCTATCCCCTTCTATAACCACACTCGGCACTGCGCCTGCGCGGCCATCGCCTTCTATAACCACACTCGGCACTGCGCCTGCGCGGCCATCCCCTTCTATAACCACACTCGGCACTGCGCCTGCGCGGCCATCCCCTTCTATAACCACACTCGGTACTGCGCCTGCGCGGCCATCGCCTTCTATAACCAGACTCTGTACTGCGCCTGTGCGGCCATCCCCTTCTATAACCACACTCGGCACTGCGCCTGCGTGGCCATCCCCTTCTATAACCCCACTCGGCACTGCGCCTGCGTGGCCATCCCCTTCTATAACCCCACTCGGCACTGCGCCTGCGTGGCCATCCCCTTCTATAACCCCACTCGGCACTGCGCCTGCGTGGCCATCCCCTTCTATAACCCCACTCGGCACTGCGCCTGCGTGGCCATCCCCTTCTATAACCCCACTCGGCACTGCGCCTGCGTGGCCATCCCCTTCTATAACCCCACTCGGCACTGCGCCTGCGTGGCCATCCCCTTCTATAACCCCACTCGGCACTGCGCCTGCGTGGCCATCCCCTTCTATAACCCCACTCGGCACTGCGCCTGCGTGGCCATCCCCTTCTATAACCCCACTCGGCACTGCGCCTGCGTGGCCATCCCCTTCTATAACCCCACTCGGCACTGCGCCTGCGTGGCCATCCCCTTCTATAACCCCACTCGGCACTGCGCCTGCGTGGCCATCCCCTTCTATAACCCCACTCGGCACTGCGCCTGCGTGGCCATCCCCTTCTATAACCCCACTCGGCACTGCGCCTGCGTGGCCATCCCCTTCTATAACCCCACTCGGCACTGCGCCTGCGTGGCCATCCCCTTCTATAACCCCACTCGGCACTGCGCCTGCGTGGCCATCCCCTTCTATAACCCCACTCGGCACTGCGCCTGCGTGGCCATCCCCTTCTATAACCCCACTCGGCACTGCGCCTGCGTGGCCATCCCCTTCTATAACCCCACTCGGCACTGCGCCTGCGTGGCCATCCCCTTCTATAACCCCACTCGGCACTGCGCCTGCGTGGCCATCCCCTTCTATAACCCCACTCGGCACTGCGCCTGCGTGGCCATCCCCTTCTATAACCCCACTCGGCACTGCGCCTGCGTGGCCATCCCCTTCTATAACCCCACTCGGCACTGCGCCTGCGTGGCCATCCCCTTCTATAACCCCACTCGGCACTGCGCCTGCGTGGCCATCCCCTTCTATAACCCCACTCGGCACTGCGCCTGCGTGGCCATCCCCTTCTATAACCCCACTCGGCACTGCGCCTGCGTGGCCATCCCCTTCTATAACCCCACTCGGCACTGCGCCTGCGTGGCCATCCCCTTCTATAACCCCACTCGGCACTGCGCCTGCGTGGCCATCCCCTTCTATAACCCCACTCGGCACTGCGCCTGCGTGGCCATCCCCTTCTATAACCCCACTCGGCACTGCGCCTGCGTGGCCATCCCCTTCTATAACCCCACTCGGCACTGCGCCTGCGTGGCCATCCCCTTCTATAACCCCACTCGGCACTGCGCCTGCGTGGCCATCCCCTTCTATAACCCCACTCGGCACTGCGCCTGCGTGGCCATCCCCTTCTATAACCCCACTCGGCACTGCGCCTGCGTGGCCATCCCCTTCTATAACCCCACTCGGCACTGCGCCTGCGTGGCCATCCCCTTCTATAACCCCACTCGGCACTGCGCCTGCGTGGCCATCCCCTTCTATAACCCCACTCGGCACTGCGCCTGCGTGGCCATCCCCTTCTATAACCCCACTCGGCACTGCGCCTGCGTGGCCATCCCCTTCTATAACCCCACTCGGCACTGCGCCTGCGTGGCCATCCCCTTCTATAACCCCACTCGGCACTGCGCCTGCGTGGCCATCCCCTTCTATAACCCCACTCGGCACTGCGCCTGCGTGGCCATCCCCTTCTATAACCCCACTCGGCACTGCGCCTGCGTGGCCATCCCCTTCTATAACCCCACTCGGCACTGCGCCTGCGTGGCCATCCCCTTCTATAACCCCACTCGGCACTGCGCCTGCGTGGCCATCCCCTTCTATAACCCCACTCGGCACTGCGCCTGCGTGGCCATCCCCTTCTATAACCCCACTCGGCACTGCGCCTGCGTGGCCATCCCCTTCTATAACCCCACTCGGCACTGCGCCTGCGTGGCCATCCCCTTCTATAACCCCACTCGGCACTGCGCCTGCGTGGCCATCCCCTTCTATAACCCCACTCGGCACTGCGCCTGCGTGGCCATCCCCTTCTATAACCCCACTCGGCACTGCGCCTGCGTGGCCATCCCCTTCTATAACCCCACTCGGCACTGCGCCTGCGTGGCCATCCCCTTCTATAACCCCACTCGGCACTGCGCCTGCGTGGCCATCCCCTTCTATAACCCCACTCGGCACTGCGCCTGCGTGGCCATCCCCTTCTATAACCCCACTCGGCACTGCGCCTGCGTGGCCATCCCCTTCTATAACCCCACTCGGCACTGCGCCTGCGTGGCCATCCCCTTCTATAACCCCACTCGGCACTGCGCCTGCGTGGCCATCCCCTTCTATAACCCCACTCGGCACTGCGCCTGCGTGGCCATCCCCTTCTATAACCCCACTCGGCACTGCGCCTGCGTGGCCATCCCCTTCTATAACCCCACTCGGCACTGCGCCTGCGTGGCCATCCCCTTCTATAACCCCACTCGGCACTGCGCCTGCGTGGCCATCCCCTTCTATAACCCCACTCGGCACTGCGCCTGCGTGGCCATCCCCTTCTATAACCCCACTCGGCACTGCGCCTGCGCGGCCATCGCCTTCTATAACCACACTCGGCACTGCTCCTGCGCGGCCGATGAGCTGATAGCCGCGCAGGTGTAGTGGCAATAGTTAGAAATTTCGGCAAGGATTTCACGGGCATGCACAGTAGCTCCATCTGGTGTAGACTTCCTCCTGGCACTCACTGGATGTCACGTCACCAGTCGGAGAACTCGAAAAGTCGGAGCTCTCGATAGAACACCAGCATGGGACACTAGATATCACACGCCGGCTGTATACTGCGCGATCATGTGACCACTGGAAGGATCATGTGACCACTGCACCCCCCACGGGGATTCCCCGGACAATACCCCCCCCTCCTCCCCCCCCCATGGGTTATGGCAGACGGGACG